GACTAGAGGATGACCAACACAAACTGTGCAGCAGCAGATGAGCTATCGTCTCTGACTTTACATCTACAAGGTGGACTGACAAGGTAGGAGTGTCTCATAGAGTGGACAGTGAGTGGACACAGTGTTTAAAAACTCCAAAAGCACTGCTGTGTCTGATCCACTCACACCAGCACAACACACACTAACACACCACCGCCACGTCAGTGTCACTGCAGTGCTGAGAATGATCCACCGCCTAAATAGTACCTGCTCTGTGAGGGTCCATGGGGGTCCTGACCACTGAAGAACAGGGTAACTCTGCATGCAGAGAAACAGATGGACTACAGTCTGTAACTGTAGAACTACAGAATGAAACTATATGGTCAGTGGTGCTGATAGAGTGGACAGTGAGTGTAGAAATAAGGAGGTTGTTTCTATATGTGTGTAATAAGCATAAGCTGTGTTCTTATGCTCCACTTTGAAAATGAAAAAACAGGCAAATGCAAAACCAGTCAGAACATTAATAATGAGTGAATTAAGATATTTCTTTGCTTTGACTGTGTTAAAATTATCCAGTGGAGTTTTCAGCTCACAGTGGGGAAAATTCCTCATGCTCACATCCTCTGAGGGTGTCCACCAGCTGGAAGACATGGTTAATTTTTCAGGTCCGTTATTGTTTCGATGTCAAGCTTGTATACAACTGAAGAACCTTTTTTGGTGCTGTCTAGAACCATTTTTAAAAAGATTCTATATAGAACCACACACAACGCATTCTCCATCAATCTGAAGAACCATTTCACCATGCAGGGAACCCTTTAAGCATGCAAATGGTTCTATATAGAACTCATAGCTCTAAAAAGAACTATTTACTTTACTAAAGAGCCCTTTGAAGAACCATCTTTTTTAAGTGTGTAGTTAAATACCTGTGATTAAAACCACTAAATTATGGCCATCTAACATCTGTAGTTTACCTTCAACGTCATTATTATATATGTATTATCACGCCAGACTGTAATGTTTGCGATTATTTGTTCTCTATTATTTCAGAAAATAGTAACGGCTCCGCCCATGTGACTGTAGAGCTCGCCCACTTTACGTGCTGCTTAAGTCGTCATGTAGCCTTGCTCCGCTCTCAATCGGTCCTCAGAACGAGTGGAGCTGTGAGAGTCGGATCAGCTGCTGATTCAGAGCCGTGATATGAGAGAAACAGAGAAGTTTCCAGCGTCGCTTTACTGCCTCCTGCTTCTGCTCTCTGGAGTCTCCTCTTACAGTAAGGCTCAGCTTCATCACTGCTCTCAGATACTCTATTAATACTCACGTTTGTCAGTGGCTGAATCTCAAACGGTCCCTATTCCCTATGTAGTGCACTAAGTTCTGGCTTCCACACCAGAACAGTGCCCAGTTAGTCCAGTATGGAGCTGTGCACACACGGCTGAACCTCAGAAGGCTGTTTATTAGACATGTGATGATCTTTATGGTGCAGGAGCAGCTATTTTAATATATGGTGCACTATGTAGGGAGCAGGGAGCCGTCTGAGATTCAGCCAGTGTTTTTGCTCGGGACTCGGAGGCGCAGCGTGTCGTTTTGAGTGAAACAGCTTTATTGTAGACAGATCGTCTGTAGTGGCTGCGGTTCACGTGCAGGGTGAGCACCCATGTCGCGTCATGCCAGTCAGACGGAACGGAGTGTTTTCGTACAGTGTGAGTTTATAAATCGCGGGCAATTTATTATTAAATTTATTATAAGGGCAGTCTTCAAATAGGCAACTTGGAGATATAATAGCGCGTCTGCAGTTCTCTTGGAATCAATAACACGTCATCCTAAAACCCGCTGTGAAATGTGCAGACAGGACGACCTTCAACTGAACGTTTTGCAATAGTACACATGTTTTCTTCTATTCGTGGTCACGATTTCTTAATTCGTTCTCTCGTTTTCTTTTAATCGTGCTCATGTTTTCTTCTTGCATGTTTACGTTTATGGTTGCTTGGCAGCAGACATAACAAATGCTTGTTAACCCCGATTGAGTAGTTTAAAAAGGTAAGATTAGCATCGGGTAGATAGTCTAGGGTTCAAAGGTTTAAACAGTCCCTTTCTGAACACTTAAAGGACAGGTGAGCAATATGATTATATTTTATTGCTGTTAAATTAAATCACAGTATTCTTTTATGATGGTGTGTTCAACACTAGATAACAGGACACAAAAAAGACAGATTTAGACCGATTGTAGAGAGACTGTGAACCACAACAGTCAGTGTACAGTAACTATATGAACTGTATAATAATAATAAGCAGCTGATTGGATAGCAGCTCACTGTGACATCATCTTAATTTGTTCTTTTATTTTTTTACCAGATATTTCCTCTGGTGGTCATCCACAGCAAAGACCAGCTGGACCATCCGAGCCGTCGCTATACCAACCACACTTGACTGCACTAGTTGGAAATAAAATGATCATCGCATATCATCCTCACAGGAAGTATCCTCAGCTCAAAGCCAAGCCAGCAGGAGAAACAGTGGACTCCAGAGACCACCAACTTCTCACAAAAGAAACCTGATGGTCACACAGTTCCAGTGATGCGCATTAACTTGTGTTTTTAATGTTTTTGACCACATATTAATGTTTTATTTTGCTTATTTTGAGAGATACTCTAAACAACACCAGCGAACTAGCTAGCTAGCATCCTTGTGTCTGCGGTCATGTTAACGGGTACGAAAGGTTGATTAAATAAACAGTGGGAGGGATTCCTTTAATATTCAAATCAACAGTTCATGGTTTTTGTAACTGTAGGTGATCTCAAATTGCATAAATCCTACAAGCACTTCTAATTTAAACATTATTTAATTCATTCAGGTTTATTGAACATGATGGAGAAACATAAATTATAATACCATTTTTTACATTGGATTTATGTATTTAAACTGAATGGAAAATTGACATGTAATTAAAAAAACATACGTTTTAACTATTTTTTTGACTGTGTGTCCCAAACGTTTAATCTCTAATGTCTGCTCTAATGGCTGGAACCAAATTTACCTTTAACTTTGATATACTAACATAACAAGAGACGGCGATCCTCTGCTGTCTAGCACTGAGGAAAAGCGTAATCATATAGACCTCATAAGTTGTAAGCCAATCGAATCAGACCTGGGGATGGTCTCTGGTGCTACTCACTCTGTAAAAAAAAATAAATTAAAGATTAGGCCTTTTTCAAAATATATAATAGTAGTGAAAGTAGTTACAGAGTGATGATGTCTACCTACAATATGGATTTGTGTTTATAAAATATTCATTTCAAAGTATATGTGAGGTAAAGACGTGAAGCATGAACGTTAGCTATTTTAACTATTTTGAGAAGTTTAGGAAATTTCACAGATTATTTGCTTTCATATTTCTATTAAGTATGTCAAACTATTACTACCTTTATTAGCTATATATTGCTACATATTTATGTATGTATAGCTATTAGTGGTGTTGATCGTAAAGCAATTGTATATCCCTGAATTCCTCACTCTGTTGATGGTCATTAGTGGCAGCACCATAGAAGGCCAGTCAGGTGAGAAGATTTTTGCCCATTCAAACAAAAAATGAACTAATTGATCCTGTTTGACTTTAATACCTTTGTCTGATCTGTGTAGGTGGACAGATATAGTGTTTAGGTCATGAAAGATCTGTGCTTAAAACACTGTAGAAACAGATCTACTGTCTGCCAACTGGCCAAGTAGACATTTGATCAATTTTCCACCTATTGCTACCCTAAAAGTTCATGATGAACAGACACTTTGGGCCCATTAAAAACATTCTCCTCTTAGTAAAGGCTCAGCCACAACCACATATCTCTAGCATGAATACTTACAGAATGAAGGGTTGTTGGGCTAACAGCTCACCTAGCTTAATAACATTTGTATTACCTGAGTAAACGAGGCTAAAATCAGCTTCTTACTCGAATTTCACCGTTCCACCTTAAATAGTGCAACAGTTGCATTCTGCCCCCTCAGACTCATCTCAGGCCCCAGACTGTAACTGCTTCACCACTTAAGGTGGAACGAGAAATTATAAACAGAAGCTGGCTTCAGCCTCGCACTTATTAGCTGAGGTAATTTGCTAAGGCTAAGCTAACGTTAGCTCTCCTGACTGACTAAACTGAGTAAACGAGGCTAAAGTCATCTTCTTACTTAAATTTCCCCGTTCCGCCTTAAATAGTACAACAGTTACATTCCGGCACATCAGACTCGCCTCAGGCACCAGAGTGTAACTGCCAGACCATTTAAGGTGGAACGGGAAATTATGAACAGAAGCTGGCTTCAGCCTCGCACTTATTAGCTAAGTAATTTGCTAATGCTAAGCTATCGTTAGCTCTCTTGACTGAGTAAACAAGGCTAAAGTCAGCTTCTGACTTAAATTTCCCCATTCCACCCTAAATAGTACAACAGTTACATTCCAGCACATCAGACTCGCTACAGGCACCAGAGTGTAACTGCCAGACCACAATTTGTATCAAAGAATTCATTTAGCATCAGAAGCGCTTTAGCGGAGCGTGCTAACGTTACTCCTCCTAATAAACACACACACGTTCAGCTCCGTCTCCTCATTATTCACCACTATCACTGTAATATTTCATCATCAACATGAACAGACGAATATGGAGCCCCGCTGGTGACATCCTGTATCAATAAAAATAATGCGTGGCCACGACTTAATAAGGCGTGGGAATGAGATGATTAAGTCGTGGCCACGGCTTAGTAAAGCGTGGTAACAAGATCCTAATTCGTGGCCACGACTTAGAAAGCCGTGATCTCGTTCCCACGCTTTACTAAGTCGTGGCCACGACTTAATCATCTCATTCCCACGCCTTCCTAAGTCGCATTATTTTTATTTATACAGGATGTCACCAGCGGGGCTCCGTACACGAAGGTAATCAGGGGGATGGTGGAGATCGAGTCTGCAGCGTCTGAGATTTTTAAAACGCAGAGTTAGAAAAGAAAATCATCTCACAGTGAAAGCCCCCTACGGAGCCCCGCTGGTGACATCTTGTATAAATAAAAATAATGCGTGGGAACGAGATCCTAATGCGTGGCCACAACTTAGTAAGGCGTGGGAATGAGATGATTAAGTCGTGGCTCATTATGCTAATAGTGAACTAAGCTGCCTAAAAGCGTGATAATAACGGCTCCAGGCTCTCTTTGTAGTGCAGGTCAGACGATGGCATCTACACCAAAATAGTGAATTACATGTCCAGTGAGAAGTCGTGCAGCCTATGGCTGAATCCCAAATGACTCTATTATATTTACAGCGCCTTGTTTGGATGTAGAAGCTATTAGCTTTTATAAGAGCTACTTAGTGCACTAGATAGGGAGTAGGGAGCGATTTGAGACGGAGCTAAAAAGAGAACGCGCCCGTTCGCCCCGCTGAAACTCTCAGCAGTGAACAGCAATAAACTCCAACCAGCAACGATAAACATCGCCGATCGGCTTAGAGATGATCAATAAAAACTACGGGTTTTATTTAATGGGGTTTATACAAACACACACGCACGCACACGCACACACACACACATATATACATATATATATATATATATAGAGAGAGAGAGAGAGAGAGAGAGAGAGTGTAGAGTCTGGTTTCCATAGTAACCGAGCAGCGTCTGTGACGTCACAAAGGGGCGGGGCCTTCCTATAAATAGCGGGAGTTCTCAGCCTCGTGTTCAGTCGGTTTGTTGACCTCATAAAGTTCGGATGTGCGACGTCGTTTATCCAGAACCCAAAGTATTCTCAGACAGAACAGCGCGGATCTTCTCCCGTACACAACCAGATAAAAGGTGAGTACAGTTTAAACTTATTTACACCTGAACAACCAAATCAGGACATTAAACTAAGAGATAAAGAACCAGAATATAGATAAAGAACCAAAATAGAGAAAAAGAACCAAAACAGAGATAAAGAACCAAAATAGAGAAAAAGAACCAAAACAGAGATAAAGAGCCAAAATAGAGAAAAAGAACCAAAACAGAGATAAAGAACCAAAATAGAGAAAAAGAACCAGCATAGAGAAAAAAAAGTTGAGAAAAAGAACCAGAATATATATGCCCTCTTTCTCTCTCCGATTCTCTCTCTCTCATTCTATCTCTCTCTCTCTCCCATTCTATCTCTCTCCCATTCTATCTCTCTCGCTCTCTCTCTCTCCCATTCTATCGCTCTCATTCTATCTCTCTCACTCTCTCTCTCCGATTCTCTCTCGCTCATTCTATCTCTCTCGCTCTCTCTCTCTCCCATTCTATCGCTCTCATTCTATCTCTCTCACTCTCTCTCTCCGATTCTCTCTCGCTCATTCTGTGTCTCTCGCTCTCTCTCTCCCATTCTATCTCTCTCGCTCTCTCTCTCCGATTCTCTCTCTCTCTCATTCTCTCTCGCTCTCTCTCCCATTCTTTTCCATTCTATCTCTCTCTCTCTCCCATTCTATCTCTCTCGCTCTCTCTCTCCGATTCTCTCTCTCATTCTATCTCTCTCGCTCTCTCTCTCTCCTCTCTCTTTCTCTGTTCTTTCTCTCTCTCTCTCTGTTCTTTCTCTCTTTCTGTGTTCTCCCTCTCTCTGTCTCTCTCTCTCTCTCTCTCTCTCGCTTATGCTGGTTATTCTGTTTTATACAATCAATTATCAGTTATTATTAGTATTGTTGTAATTTTTATTGATGTTGTTATTACTAGGCTACTAGTACTGTGAGTACAAGTACTATGAGTACTTTGAAGGTCTAAATGAAAATGAGAGGAGTAAAATTGTTACTCTTATTGAAATTGTTTTCTCTTACTGTTGTTATTGAGTAAAAGTACAAATACTCAATTTCAACGTATCTTCCAAAATAATACCATACCAAACCAAAGGCTGCTGTGGGATGAAGTTGGTAACTCTGTGTAACGGTGTAATCTGGTAGGTTTACCTGTATTTCAGTTCCCTGATTTCTTGTGTTTTCTGTGTTTTAATATCTCAGGAGAGTCTAACATGGCGGAGAAAGCTCTTCGTAACGCAGCAGCAGGTTCTCTCTCGGAGCCTGGTGACTCTGCTAAGTCTCAGGACGTCTCCCGTTTCCTACAGAGCCTGACTGATCGGTATGTACTCAGCACTGAGTGGTGCAGCCAGGAATTACTCAAATGTACAGTATCAAATACAAATATATAAATATCCAGCACAGTGTACAAATGTATATACAAGTACACAAATATGAAATATACATATGAATAACATTACTATGCATAAGGAATAAAAAACATACAGCATTTATTATGGCTTATGTTCCATTACAGCTGTGTTGCTAGCGGGTTAGCTTTCAATTTATTAGTGTGATGGTAACAGATCTGAATCCTGATTGGTTAATCCTGATTCTTTAGCAGCTGGTAGCCAATAAAATGTGATGAAACAAGCTAACAGACATGACGTTTCCCTCTAGGGTTATTAAATATACAAGACTCAATAATGATGTATTTGTTGACATTTATGATCATTTTAGCGCAAAAGTCGCTGTCTCTGTTACATTAGCACTAAATGGCTGTTCTGCATTTTTTTCATCTTTCAGGCAACTACAAGTGATGCTAGGTGGAATGCATCAAATGGTGAGCTTTTATAATTCAAATACAGTTAAATCATATTTTTATTGTAATATGATTATTGTGAAAGCACAGCAGATGAACCCTGTAAGACAATGCTAGTGATGACTAATACTGTCAATATGTTCTTTTGCTTGTAGTTCACGAGGGACAAAATCGCCAGAATGAACACAAACATTGAGAAGATTCTGACTGCAGTATCACAGAAAGTCGTCATTCCGAAGCTTTGTGAAGTTCTAAATATGGATGCCGGGTCGCTTTTCCTTGAGAGACCAGGATCCTCAAACCATTCTTTGGTGTCAGTCACCAAAGAAGTTATGAATGCCATTGTGAAGACCGTCATTGACGCTCTTGATGCAAAGAAAGATTCTCACATGCTTGAGCTTCGTAGAAATGTGACAGACCAGCTCCTGGCATCTTCATGTGGGTCTGTTGAGCCCAGCGCTGAGAATCTGACGTCCAAAGATCAGGCACAACTTCGTGAATGTGCAAAAGATGTCATTCTTGAGGTCTGCTCCATCTATCAAGCCAAAGAACTCAAGAGTGCGTCAGATTTGTCTTGCCCTCCAAAGATGAGCGTCACAGATTTTGTTGAATGTTTACTATCCGAGCTGGGTGACACAACAACATCCTCTCAGAGTTCACCCATCAGTGACGATATCAGCTCTGATTCAGCCTGTGGTGCAAGCGAGAGCATGGCTGATAAAGCACTTAAAAGAGCTAAGTCCTTTCACAGAATTCCCAGCCTTATGAAACTGTCAAATATGGCTTGCAAGATGGAGACTTCCGTTCCTGGACAAACTCTGAGGAACGCGTCCTTATATGCCAAAATCTTTGTGGATGAGCTGTTAGTCCAACTGGACTCATTTACAAAGTCTGAGGTATCTGAGGATGCTCAGTCAGTACTTGGACAATGTTCCTCTGATACATCTCTCATGTCTGAGTTGCTTGTAGACCATTTAATGGCTTACATTCAAGAGGTCTCAGGTTCATCCTTTGGAGACGGCGTACCTGCCACTGCTCTGGATTGTCAGGTACCTTCTTTCCTTCAAAGCTTCTCAGCTAAGAGCTTCCAGAAGATCCAGCATGAGGATACTCGGACCAAGGCAGCTCAGGAAGTGAGTAAAATCTTACTCAAGTCTTCAAGCTTCCTTGTAAGTTCTCCACATTCCCGGCAGGCTCACACTAGCCAAAGAGATTGCAGTGTGGAACCAACTCCGTCTGAATGTTTGGTTAAGGCATTCGACCTCGTCGATTCTGTCATTGATGGAATTTGCGAACATCTGGATTCCACGATATTATCCGATGGTTTGAAAGAAACACGTTCTGAACCTTTGGATTGGATGGAATCAGGTGTTGACGCCTCTGAGGGGATTCTGTGGTACACTGCGTGTACTACTTACAACAGTGCGATGAGACACCTAAGGGATTTTTCTGCAAAGTATCAGCAGAAAGCACCTAAGGTCGATCTTTCAGAGATCACTGTTGGGGGAACTGTTGACAAGACATTTCTGGCAAACAAAGACCACCTTGGCTTGTTGTTGTCAAATGATCGCAACT